TCTTTCTTTCTTTCTTTCTTTCTTTCTTTCTTTCTTTCTTTCTTTCTTTCTTCTTTCTTTCTTCTTCCTTTCTCTCTTTCTCTCTTTCTCTCTTTCTTGACAGGGTCTTGCCAAGTTGCTGAGTCTGGCTTTGAACCTGTGATCCTCCTACCTCAGCCGTCCAAGCCACTGGAATTATAGGTGTGCATCACTGTGTCCAGTTAGGTTAGGACTATTTTGTGCTAGTTTTGAATAATAGTGGGAACACAGAGTGAAAAATAAGGAAAAATATCCAAACTAAAGGGACATAAACAGAATGGACTTCTGGATACTGAGGATAAATGTGTTCATGCCAGAAAAAAGTGGTGGATACCTTTGGAACAACTGAGAAGACCTTGCATGAGGATTCTGGATCTGATCTATTAGGACTGTAGTGAACCATGGTTGTTCTTCAACATATGGATCTAATTATTTGCATAGTTTCAGGCCAAGTCCAGCTCTTCTCTTTGTCATTAGAATTGGAATTATTGTCAAACTATTTTTAACAGAGGAATATAGAGGGATGATATTGTATTAGGATTCTGCCTCACAGCTATAAATCACCATTGAAAATTTCATAGAATAAAGAATTTGCATGCTAAATTTTTATAATGTATCTCTATTACTGGGTTAATAAACATATTGATGAGTCTTCTGCCGCAGAACATGGTACGTATTTACATTGGTTCGAATCTTGTCCTTCAGTAGTGTTTTTTTTTTTTTCCCCAGCAATGGGGATTGAATCCAGGGGTGCTCTGCCATTGACCTACATCCCTAGTCCTTTATATTTTTATTTTGAGATAGGGTCTTGCTCAGTTGCTCAGACTGGCCTTGAAGTTGTGATCCTCCTGCTTCAGCCTCCCAAGTTGCTGGGATTACAGGCATGCACTCCTACACCCAGTTTAGAAGTACTTTTTCAATCGACATTTTGAATAACATAATTCTTCAATTCACATTCATTTGAAAGAAAAAATACTAGAGAGAGACCCAGGTATGTTCTGTCCAGTTTCCCCCAACTCGTAACATTTTGCAAAACTGCAACCCATTAGCACAACCAGAATATTAGTGTTGATAGCTATTTCTTTCAAATTTGTTTAAATTTACTTGTACTCATGTGTGCATGTATGTGGGCATTTAATTAAATATAGTTTTATCAAATGTGTAGTTAATATCTGGACCATTACAGTCCAGATATTAACTACACATATTAACAGTGATATTTTAAGTGGTTTTTATGTAAGTTCCATATATTTCTCAAGTTTATTTCTAAGCATCTCATCTTTGTTGTTTTTCCTACTATCCAAGGCCTTCTCCCCACCTCCACGTTGTAACTGATTATTAGTTATAACATGGATTTATTAATAACTTCTGTGTTTTAGGTTATTATCTGTTAAATTAGTAAATTTTGAAATTGTTTTTCATGGCTTTTAAACAGATTATTTTGAGTTATTTAGTCATACTATCTGCAAATTATGTTAATTTATTTCTTCTGTTACAATGTTTTACTTTAAATTCTTTGAACTAATTGAGTGATATGTTCACAAAAATTTAATATTGCTGATAATGAGTGTCCTAATGTTTTTCTCACATTAGAGAAAAGACATATTGTTTTTCTCAATTAAGCCTGATCTTGGCACTTGAACTAAGATATATGCATTTAATTATGCTGTAGAAATACATATGCATAGTTCATTGAGTGTTTCCATTTAAAAAGGTTGTTGAATTTTTTCAAATGCCTTTTTAGAATTTTTGGAGTTGTTTATTTGACTTTTCTTCTTCAGTATCTTTGTATGATTAATGAATATAATAAATTTTCTGATGTTGAACCGTATTTATACTTCTTTTAAAACTCACTCATGTAAATATACTCCATTATTTATTTATTTTTTAAAATTGGTACTTAATAGATATACACTAAGGTGGAATTCCCTTTGGTATATTCATATATATGTACATAGCCCAATTTGATCAATTTTGTTCTTCAGTTCCTCCCTTTTCCCATTCCTCCTCTTTTACCCTCAATCTTTTTTGATTCCACTGGTCTCCCTTTTGTTTTAAGGGGATTATTATTCCCCCTTATTTTTCTCTAGCTTCTATCAGAGAAAACATTTGACCCTTAGCTCTGGGTCTGTATTATTTCACTTAGCATGATGCAGTTATTTCATTGTTCTTGATTGCTGAGTACATCTCCCCTGTGTATGTATACCATATTTTCCTTATCCATATATCTATTGAAGGATATATCCATATATCTATTGAAGGATACCTGGGCTGCTTCCATAACTTGGCTATTGTGAGTTGCTCTTCTATAAACATTGATGTACCTGTATCACCAGAGTATACTGATTTTGTTTCTTTAGGATAAATACTAAGGAGGAGATAACTGAGACACATTGTGTTTCCCTTCCTAGTCTTTTGAGGAATCTCTATATTGCTTTCCAGAGTGGTTGGTTAATTTGCAGTGTATGATGTATGAGTGTACCTTTCCCTCCCAACATTATTGCCAACATTTATTATTATTTGTATTCTCAATGGTTGCCATTCTGACTTGAGTGAGATGAAATCTCAGTGAAATTTGATATGCATGTCCCTGGCTGCTAGGGATGCTGACCATTTTATTAATATATTTGTTGGCCATTTGGATTTCTACTTTTAAGAAATATCTGTTTAATCGTTTGCTCATTTATTGATTAGGTTTTTTTTTTGGTGTGTGTGTTAAGTTTTTTGAGTTCTTTATGTATTCTGGATATTAATCCTCTGTCAGAGAAGTATTTTGCAAAGATCTTCTCCTATGCTCTTGTTATCTTTGCTGTGCAGAAGTTTTTCAATTTCACATCATTTATTGATTCTTGATTTTATTTCTTGAGCTGTAGGGGACTTGTTAAGGAAGTTGGTACGGTATCAGTATGTTGGGAGTGTTGAGTCTATGTTTTCTTCTAGAAGTTGCCCATTCTTTTAATGTGTTGGTGGGTTTCCCTCCACAGTATTTCATTGAAACATTTCATAGCACTGTGCCAATTAGATTGTAATGTTGTTTTTCATGTATAGTTTTTGTCACCTTTGGATTCCAACATTATACCCACTCATTTTCCATCCTGTTGTTCCTCCAGCTTAACCTTTTGTCTTTATCTGCAGGGTTGAAAGTTCTACCACATCCTCACTCCAGCTAGCATGAAGGAACAGAGAGGCAGGGGAGGATACTGTTAAGGAGAAGTCCCAATTTCATGCTTGTGCTTACATCTCATTGTTTAGAAGTTACACATAGCTGCAAGGAAAGCTAAGATTTATTATCATTATACGGAGCAGATTTATGCCTCTAATGTTCAAGGGCACTGGTTCTTAGAGGTGTCTTTTTGTTTGTGAGCTTTTTTTTTTAATTTCTTGGCAAAGTTTTGCTATAATTTTCACATTTTTTTCTTTTCTCCAATGCCAGGCCAATGTTTTCCTTAGTTCTTGTTGCTGTAAATAAAATTGTATCTTCAATTATGTTAAAGACTTAACACTTAGTATCTCAGAACGTGATCTTATTTGGAAACAGAGTCTGTATAAAAAAATCAAGTTAAAATGATATCATGAGGTAGGCACTAACCCAGTATGACTAGTGCTCTTATCAAAAGGGAATTGTGGATGCTGAGATACACATGCACAGAGGGAAGACAGTGAGAAGACACACAGGGAGAATGCTGTCTGAAGACAGAGGATCAGTTTTTCTGCCACAGGCCAAAGAACACATAGGGCCACCAGAAGCAAGGAACAGGCATGAAAGGCTTCCTGTACAGGTTTCAGAGGAAATATGGCCCTACTGACACCCTGACTTCAGATATCTTGCCTCTAAAACTGTGATATAATTCATTTCATTATGTTAAGTCATATGGCTTTTGGTATATTTTATGGCAGTGATAGGAAACAATTATACTTATCAATTACTGAATTCAATTTTCTTGGACCAGCAATTTCAGGGGATTTGCTTTTGTGAGTTTCAGGAGGGTTTCATGGGGCCGAGATGGTGTTATAACTTCACACTGAATACTCTCTTCCTTGCTGCTCCTTTGGAAACAAATTGGGGGACTCTGTTTTGTGTTTGTGTTTGTGGGGTTTTTTTTTTTTTGTGGTATTGGGATTGAACCTAGGGCCTTGTGCATACCAGACATGGTATCTACCACTGAGGGACATCTCCAGCCTTTCCATATTGATTTTTGCATGGCACTTGCATTTTCACAGCTACTTTGAAAAACCCAGTGTTGTTAGTCTTTTGTCAGTGTGAGCAAAACACCTGACAAGGACAATTTAGGGGTTCAAAGGTTTGGTCAATGGCCTGAGGTGAGGCAGAACATCATGGTGGAAGGATGTGTCCAAGGAAATTTGCTCAGCTCATGACATCCAGGAAGCAGAGAGAGTGCAAGGAGCCAGGAACGAAATATTTAATCCCCAAGGCCACTTTCCCAGTAATCCTCATTTTTTCCACACATTGCACTTGCCTATAGTTACCACCCAGAAATCGATTCAAATTACTGATTCCTCAAATGGATTAATCCACTGAATGGGTTATATGTCTCATAATTTAATCATTTCATCTCCTGCATTAATACAGAAGTTTGAGGAGACAACTCATATCCAAACCATATACCCAACCTCTTAAAATGGCATCAATAGGAAGGTAGTGATGGAAGGCAGAAGCTGTGAATTACCTTAGCTAGTTGATCACAGTATCCAACAGAGACAGATGGTATTTGGAGTTAGATCTCAGTTCTGTGTGAAAACTTGGCCAAGTTATTTAATTTTGTTGAGTTTCATTTTTCTCTTCTGCAAAATAGGATTACCAAGCCCACACACAGGGAGGGCTCTATAGAGATGAAATGGTGGAATCCCAAGCATAATAAGTACTTGGAACATGGTAACTATTTTTCAAGAAATATTTTGGACCAATAATAACTGGTAGGAGTTAGCAAATCATCACAAATTTTATTTATGCTCAGACTTGGTTACTTAGTAGAATGATCATGGTTTTATTTGAAGAGAAAATTGAAATCATTAGGAATATTTCAGTGGCATCAAAAACCAAATTTTCAGGCAGAAAGCTTTCCATTTCAACATACAGTTCAGTCTAAGTTTTATTACTCTTTAGGAAAGTAACTTGGCATTTCTTTCTCATTTTTTTTTTTTAACTGGGGATTAAACCTCAGGGGTGCTTAACCACTTGAATCATTAAGCCACATTCACAACCCTTTTTATTTTTTGAGACAGAGTCTCACTAAGTTGCTTAGGGTTTCGGTAAGTTGTTGAGGCTGGCTTTGAACTTATGATCCTCCTGCTTCAGCCTTCAGAGTCACTAGGATTACAGGTGTGAACCACCATACTCAGCTCTGTCTCATCTTTAAAATAGTGAAGACAGCACCATGTTGAATGTAGCAATAAGAACAAAAGTGCTTAGTGCACAGTAGTGTGAGCTTCTTTTATCCTGTTTTTCAGAGTTAATTTTCCCATTGAGACAGAGATTTAGCAGATCTGGTGTTCCTTGGGGGATGTGCCTACACTCTTCCTCTCAGGCTGAAAGAAGAAAACATTTTATTCTTAAACTGGACTGTAGGCTGATGAAGTCATACTGACACAAAATTTTTGGAAGATAGTTTCCCTTTGATGTCAGTTGGTATTTTCTCCTTTAGAACATAGTACAGAGACTCTGTCTAGATTGTTTGCCATGAGGTAGTTATCAGTTAAATCACTTTTTGATGAATTATGCCAAAGTTTTATTCTTTTTCCCCTTAGCTATAAGATTCTAAATAGCTTGTTATTTTAAAAATAGCTATTTATTAGCAAGTTGATTTACATTAATTCAGTTGTACTTTTTTTCCCTTAAATTAGATTTATTTGTTTTTATATGGGACATAGTTCTCTCAATCACCCAGATGGATGGCATTTTCTTTGAAAGAAGTTTCCTTAATTTATTCAGTTTGAATTTATAAGTTAACCTTTTCTGTTTGAGTTAAGTCTTCCTCATTCTGATTGAAGTTTTTAAAGCTCACATTCCGTCTTTGGATTTGTAAAGCAGATCCTAAGTTCTCTTGCTATAATATTAGCAATGATGGTGATGGAGAATTCCAACTTTGGTGAAATGCTTTAATAGAATGATACTTTAGTCAAATCTGCCTCTGTCCCTTCTTCATACTGTAGTCATCTCAGAAGGGGATCTTACTACAGAGGGAGATGTGGATACCCTGAATTGTGACTCTTGCTTCATGGAGAATGAATGGGAAAAAGCCAAGGAGTGAGTGATTGGCAAGTGAAGGAAGTGACAGTTGTAGGAATTCTCTTAAATTCAGACTTGAAGTCTAAAACTTAGCAATTTTTTTAGTAATTTGTTTTTTGCATTTTGTAAAGAAATGGAGAAATACCTTTCTTTGTGAAATTCTGTCCATGTGCTGTCTAGGGGCAAAAAGCGCTGGACTGATGTTTATTTACAGTGAATGCTCTACATAATTCTCTGGCATTTTCCCTTTTCATTGTTTGATATTTTTATTTATTTCTAAATTATCCACAGACAAATAATGATTATATTAAAAATCTGCAGGGAGAAAAAGATGAAAAGACCAGTACTCAAATCTTAATAGTAACTGAATTTAGAGGAGCACTATGCAATTTTACTTTCTAAATTTTATTTCTATATTTAGATTTGCTTTAAGAAGTATATTTCAACAGGTATTTAAAATTAAAAAAATGAGTTTTCATCTTATCTAAATAGAGAAATCAAATGGATGTCTGAAGTACCCTGGTCAATCTGTTCCTTCAAACTATTTTTACCTAGTCAAGCATGACGCTGATCATTTTAAATATGATATGATAATATGTAATGCTTGTGGGCATAAAATAAATACAAGTATTAAGATATAGAATATAATTTGCTTGCCACTATCTATTCTTTCTTGTGATCTATAGCACAGAAGAGAGCAATTTAAATACAAAGTGTTTAAAATGTGTTAATATTTGAAAGTTAGTGAGTTAATTTTTTTCTCTGCCTTCCGTCAGATGATTGCACAGTGCTTAAATATAATGAAAAAGAAGAGGCAACATAATATAACCCCTCAATATTATTCCACACTCAGATTTTAATTTGATATTTGTATTTTATGCTGCTTTAAAAAATTAGTCACTACTAATGTTTTACTTGTGTTGGCATAAATAAGCTTTAAATATATAACTTAATCTCTGAGGTGTTATTTGATTGAGAGGCTGCAGTCAATGAGACATAGGTTTTTTCACTGCAAAATCAGAAGTGGTAGCAACTGCCAATATTTAATGGAATTAAGCATGGAATTGAAAAAAATTGAACAAAGAGATTAAAGTTCATTAAGGATCTTTAAGCAGTTACATATACACAGAGCAATTGCTATGTACTCTTAAATGATAGTCCCTGGAAATTTTGGTTTTACTTTAGTAATTAAGCCTTTTTGCCTTGACTCAGCAAAGCTACATACAAATAAGGTATGTAGAAGACTTTGGGTTTTAAATGTTAAAAAAAAAAACATTAGAGCAGATAGCTAAAATTATCTTTTATATAGGAACAAAAATCAGTTTAATAAGTCCACATTAATTTCTTATTTGATTGCTAAATATTAAAAGAATTTTTCAGTTATGGTCTATTTTATCAAGAAAATACTTTTTTCTAAAGAGATTGTTTGGTCAGATATCTTCTATAAGACATTGAAAAATTGTGTGCATGTGCAAGTTAAAAACACAACATATAGCAGGCTAAAATTGAACAAATTTGATTGCAGAACTGAAGCTAGTTTTCTTAGTTTTGTCACCATAAACACATCTTATGCTCAGGATTTTTTGAACAGTCCATGAAAGGTAACAGGGATGTTAATCTCCACTTCAGCCCTGGCAACTTCACTCAAATCCTTGGCATTCAGAATCAGGAGGTATGCAGGCTTTTGTCCTGCCCCGGGGCTCACCACCACACTCAGAACTACACCTGTTAATCAGAAGTGCATAAGGCAGTTTTAAATTTAAAAGAACCTAGGACCATGAATTACATGTAATTGAAATAAAATCAGAGGTATTATACTGTCAAAGAAAAACAGACTTCTTGTTTTCTTTTACCACTTGCTTCTCTGACCACCTGAAGGGGTCTTTAAAACTTTTCCTTCTTGAATTATAAGCTCCAAGAAGGGAGTGATCATGTCTGTCTTGCTCACAGCTATTTCCCAATATCCTACTACAATGACTAGATCATAGTAAGTGCTCATTAAGTACTTATTAAATGAGTGGATCTTTGTTCTTATCTATAACATAAGAATATAACATTTGTTCTAACTACTGAGAAAAATTGTAATGATCAAGTGAAAAACATGTTAAAAGACTAAAAGCAATAAGGTATATTATAGCCATAATTCCCAACATCTATGTGGATGCTGACTTCCTTCCAACAAAATGAGAATAAGCCTTTTTGTACTTTTGTCTGAATGGGAGATATATATATATATATATATATATGTATATATATATATATATAATTATATATTATATATATTATATATAATTATATATATAATTATTTAGCATGAAATGGCTCAACAATTATTTATGTAATTTCTCTGTGATTTCCCATATTTTAATTCCAGAGAGTGTTATCTATCTCTCTGTCCCTGCTAATTAATGGCTAACTAAGACTAATACTTGGTAATGGAGTTGCTGTTTTATAGGCGGTGGCTAGATCTTTTCTAGCCCATGTTTACTAAAAGAAAAATCAAAACTAGAGTCATAGAGCTGTACTCTCATTCTCTTTATATGCTAGAAAATTCTGCTTCCCTTCCTATAACACAATTTCTTTTCAGAAATGTATCTTGATGAGGAGGGGGTGAATACCCGGATGGAATTCCTGCTGCCTGGCTCCTTTCTTCCCCTTTCCTGCATCTAGAGCAGACACTGATGCCCCCAAAAGATAACCAGATAGTGCCTCAGCATTTTTCCATTAGTAATCAACAAGATTTGATCATGAGATGAAATTCATGTGTGAATATGTTTAAATTCTTCAGGATTGTCCCTTCCTAGTATTAGGATCATTTTTGAACATTAGAGAATAATCAACCTAACTCTTCTCATAAGGACCTTACTCCCAGAACTCTGATCAGAAGAGGGTTCAGATATATTCATTTCTTTCATTACCATCATCTTCTTCCAAGGCCTCTGGGTGAGAAACAAAGATGGGTTCTGATGGATATGAATCCGGCTCTTGCCATACCCAAATTTCTTTAGTTTTGACATTCAGCTTACAGAGCTGCTTGTAAGAAAGAAAAATCAACTGATCAATCCGTCAATATGCTTTATTTGCCTAGCATATGACTCAACTCACTGTTCCAATATTAGAAAGATGCATTAATTACCCTGTCTGGAACAAAGTGATTCAAGCCAAGTCCATAGGCGTACGTATAAGGTTTCCCACCATACTTCTGGTAATTGATCTGAGGAAACTCAAATGCTACAAAATAGAGCACACACTTAGGAACACTGAGTTCATCTCTCTGAGTGGAACATTTGCTCTTTTCTGAGTGAGGAGTTCTCTAGATCAACTTACCTTGACGAGGCCCTGAGAAGAGAACCTCAGGTTCCAGCCAGATGGTCTCATCGCTGCACAGAATCGCTGTGGCTGTTGTGTTGGGGAGTGTGATCAAATTCTTGCCTGTGTCAGCCTGAGAAAGAAGATAACAGAAACCTCAGTGAGCAGGAAGCAACTCTGGAACAGCCGTATGTGCAGACTTCCATTTTATCTCCTGTTTTTTCCTCAGGTCAATGTTCAGGAAAGAGCAATGTAGAAAACTAGATGAGGAAGCCTGGGCTGTGTGGGCAAGCAGTCTGTGCCTGTGCCAGGCACCAGCTGGTGGCCGCTGGAGAAGTCACAGAACCTCATAGGCCCTCAATATTTTGTAGAATTATTCTCATTTTGTACAATAAGCCTGTCTTCAAAGAACATTTAGGACTCCAAGGAAGGACCTCTGCAAAAAAATCCATGATAAATAAGTAAATTATACTTTCTGCAGACCAGCAAAGATGTGGACTGCCTGTGGGATGAAAGAGTATCTATCTATTTTATAGTTAGGATACCTTTTGGTTTTTTGAAAAAATCTATGCAGTTATGTTGCCATAAGGGGGTGGGGAGCAGAAAGAAGAAAGAAAGAGGACCACATGGTTTTTAAGAGCTCTTAGAACATGTAAATATGTGTGAGTACCCCCCAACATATACATGCAAACACTTCAGATTATTTCATGAAAACAATGAATACCATGAGCTTTTTCTAAGAATATATTAATTTATTAATATTTTCATGAAATATGTAATTATATGTTTACTTGTGTATATGCTTTTAGTACTTGATTATGAACTCTATTCTAGGCATTTGGGATATTTCAGAAGGTAAAGTCCCTGTCCTCATGAAACTCCTATTTAAGGAAGATTAACAATAAATTAATAAATGTACTTAATAAGTAAAGTGCATAATACATCATGACTGTGGGGTGAAAAGAGTAGAAAAAGCAGAGTCAGAAGTATAAAGGTTCCATGAGGCCGAAATTTTAACAGGTGGTCAGGGTAGGCCTCTTTGCTGAAGTGGCATTTGACATAGAACTCTTAGAAGATGAGGAAATTAGCAGTGCATTCAAGCAGAGAAAACAAATGGTGCAAGGCCTGAGAAGTGCCTGAATGTACTTGAGTAGCATCGAAGAGGCCAGTGTGCAGCAACTGACTGAGCAAGGGGGAGAGAAAAAAGAAGAGTGTGCAGATGAATGATGGGACCACACTGTGTAGAGGCATACAGGTTGGTATGAGGACTTGGCCTTTCTCTATAAATGAGTAATGGGAAGCCATTGGAGGTTTCTGAGCAGAGGAGTTACATGCTGTGATTTATTTTTAAAAGAATCACTTTGGCTGTTCTGTTGAATCTTACCTTGGGATTAATGGAGATGCAAGAGAGGTATCGGGGAAACCTGTTTGTCTTGAGAGTAATCTAGTCCAAAGAAAGCCATGGTTCTAGCTAGGCTAACAGGTTCTAGCTGGTAGCACTGGAGTCCGTGAGACATGGGAGATGGAGTCAAGGGGATTTCCTCATGGAGAGAATATCAAAGGAAGAGGGCTGTCAAGCCTAACACCATGGCATCTGGCTTGAACAATTAAAGGCTGGTGTTGTCACAACAAAGGTCATGACTACTGTAGGTGGGAGAAGATGAGAAGTTCAAGTCTTGTCTTAATAATCCTGAGATGCCTAATGGATATCCAATCTGGAGATGGAGATATGGAGTTGGAAATAGGTTATAAAAACCTTACGTATAAGAAAAGGTAGGAAATATAAAAGTAGGCTACTTTAAAGCATTAGTCTTTGAAAGGAACTGAATACACAGATAGATGGTAGGGGGGTCGAGGATTGAATCCTGGTGCCCCCAACAAGAGGAGGAACATGTGGGTAGCTGGTTGGGGTAAAAGTAGTCAAGAGAAGGATTTTTTAAGAGCTTGATGAGTGATCAATTGAAATCATAGGGAAGAGATGATCTAGGAGAGAGGGGAGCATGTCCCTGAGTGGGTGAGGGGATATGGGGAGATTAGCTCTGGTTAGGAAGATGGATAATTCAGTATATGAGTTTACATGCTGGTGGGTAGATATGGTAGCAAGAGTCTATAGTTCTTTTCTGATTGCTTTGTTCAGAGGAATAGGAAGCACAATCATCATCCACAGTTGAGTGTGGAGGTGGGAGGTGGGAGGTGATAAAAGTTTGAACAGAGAAGGATGTAGAATATTTAACTAGCAAAATAAGACAGTAAGTTGGGAAATATGGCAGTCAGGTTTGTGGTAATACATTTAAAATTGGAATACTCAATGTGATTGTGTGTTTGCAGCATTTAAGTTTGGATTATGATGTACAAACATGGAGTGGGTGGATATTCCAACTTAATTAGGTTGTGATTTGGGTAGATAAGTTTGATACGCAGGAAAGAAGCAAAAGAAATGAGATTCTTTGTAAGGGCTTGGTCATAATTATTGACCGTGGAATTCAACTTGAGTGAGGAGGAAGGCAAATCCTTTAGGGGAGTGAGTGATAATGAGAAAGTACTGTGTTCACTGGATTGGAAGCTCATGGCAGAAGTTGCAGTAGGGCAAGTGAATTAATAGACAAAAGGTATGAGTATGTCTTGCATGAAACAGATCATAGATGGAACACAATCATAGTCAATGGCAAGGTCAAGAGCACGACTTTGGGGAGTGAATGGTGAGATAAAGATAACATCAGTGGAGAGGTCAAGCAACCAAGAGGTCAGGTTGTCAGAAGAATCAACTTCAGTGTGCAGACTGAAATCACCAAGAATTAAGGGACAGGCATAGAATTGGGAAGACAGTGACACTGAGCCAGGAAGGAGAGGAAGTGGCAGCTAGTCAAAGACAACAATAATGAGGATTGTATGTATGGGTTTATGTACGTGTCACTTGGCTACCAGAATAGCTGAAATGATGGGGATTTTGAGAGTGGATGGAGGAAACAATGGTATGGAAACAGCTAACAGGAACAAGAACACCTAATTCAACTTCAGGCCAGTGGAACAGGTGCTGTCCTAATCTGCTCTGCTCTCTTTATGCAGAGGAGAAAGTGCCACCCCTAAAAGTTGCTCTTGGGAGACTAGTGTCCTAGAGAACAAGCCAGATTTTAGTTAAAGAGTGTGGAGGGAACATTCTGAGGAAAGAATAAAGGGAATTTCTAGAAATGGATTATGGATTAAGAGTAAATAGTGGAAGATTTTCATGAGAAGGAAGTGATGATCAAATAGGGAAGTAGATGTTGTGAAATGGGATCTCAAAGCACTTAGTGGTGATGTTGGGGAGAAGAGTGTATATAGCTGATATACTTATATACCTGTGTATGGTAAGCACAAAGGTCTGTCAAACCTATTATTTACATGGTTTTAAGCTGACTTATTTTAGTGTTGTATCTTTTTAATCTATTACTAAATTTTCTTTTTATTATAAGAAATCTGTAATATCAACTTTGTCTTCCTCAACAAACCAGATCTTCCCTTCAATGACTTCATTTATCCCCATAGATACCTTTACCCTTTGACTCAGATGTATTTTAAAGATATCACCATTATCTTAATTATTAGATAAAACTTCACTCATTTTATATTCTCAGTCTCTCTTCCTTTCCTTGATCTGTTGTTACCTTTCCTTTTAATTAATGGCCCTTTTATATTTCCTTTCATTATCAAACTTTGGGTAGTCTAAGTACTGCTCCCACATCCTAGCCACCTGCTGCCCCTGAAACTTGGTGTCTACCTCTCTTGCTCTATTCCCTTGAAAATCACCAAATCAAGCATTTATAGTTTTCATTCTTTTCCACCTGTATGTAGCTTATAGCTCTCTTCAACCCCTCTCCTGCCTTCTCCTATTTGGCATTTCCCTTTCTTAGTGGTAATTAGGGCTCTCTTGTGGCTATTTTTCTGGCATGCTTTTTTCTACTACTTTCTGCATATGGTTATTTCTTAAGCTACTGTGTTTGGCTATCTTTTCTTCTCGGTGTTTGCTAGCTACCAAATTCCCCATTTTAAAAGTAAACAATCTTTTTATGTTTCTTTTAGAAAACCTATTCTAAAGTGTGATTTCCTCCCTCGTAGCAGTCTCATCTATTGTTATATATTTGATCTTCATTTCAATACCAGTAACTATCAGCTTTTCTTCTATTCAAAAACCTTCACTGTCTTCCCATTACCTGTCCAGTAAAATGAAAACTAATGATGACCCATGATGGTCAACCAGTGATGACCAACTCTCCTTTTTCCTCATTTTTGAATGTAGCTACTTAAATTATCCTCTTTTATTTTCTTAATTTAAAGATGATTGTGATTTTTACTATTAGTAGTAAAATAAGTTTCCCCAAATCAACTGGCCCATTCTTTCGATAAATGTTTATGAGCATTCAGCTACGTGCAGGAATTGTGGTTCCTCAGGGAAAGGCAAAAGCGCTTGGGTGCCCTGTTGATTGACTGGTGGCCCACCAGGATCCATGTTCTGAACCTCTGGGTCTCTGTATGTCAGTTGCCTATTGAACATTTCTGCTGGGATGACCATAAGGTGTTTCTAACTAGGAATTATAAAATAAATCTTACTCTATTTCTTGCAAACCAGCTCCTGCTACTTCTATGTTTCTAATTCAGTGAATTGTATCATCATTCATCCAATTGCTCTGGGAAGAAATCTGAAAGTTATTCCAAATTCCTTCACATATAACTTGATATTGACTCTTGTGGATTCCACTTCCTACATATTTCTCAACTTTATACTTTCCTTTGTCTCTCAGTTGCTATTTCTTTTATTCAGGTATTCATTGCATTTTATGTGCTCCATTGTATTTATGCTAGTCTCTCCACTGTCCCATCTGTGCTCCATTGATGTGCCAGGGGGACCTTTAGGAAACATACACCCTGTCATGTCATATGCATCCCTAACATTTAAAATACAACAATGGGGCCAGGCATGGTGGTGCATACCTGTAACCCCAGCAGCTCAGGAGTCTGAGGCAGGAAGGTCATAAGTTCAAAGCCAGCCTCAGCAACTTAGTGAGGCTCTAAGCAATTTTGCAGGACCCTGTCTCAAAATAAAGAAATACAAAAAGGGCTGCCGATGTGACTCAATGGTTAAGCACTCCTGGGTTCAATCTCTGGTAGCAAACAAAACAAAACAAAACGAAACAAAATTTCAACTGCCCCTTTTCATTTAAACATCAATCAAAGGCTTATAAAGCCCCTTATACTATCACTCCAGCCCATCTTTCTGATCTCTGTGGCTGATACCCTCTCCCTTAGGCTCCTAATGAACTAGCTCCAGAGACCATGTAACATTTTCATATTAGGTCTTGCTTTTTAAACTCCTCCTTGACTGTAGAAATTCTTGCCTACATTAGTGTCTAACCTTAACCTCTTGCACGTTCTTATTCCTTAAAGAGCTTTTAAGCCTGCTTAAGAGCAGTAGCATCTGGTTCTAAATTGGGTTTCTTTTCCACTACATCTGATATAAGCCTTTGGTTCAAAGATTTACCTTTCACACAGCTGCCTCAATTCTTTTTGTGCAACTAGAGAGCACATAGACATAAAGGAGAGTATTTATATGTGAAAGTTATATTTTTTATGAATTTAGCTTTTTTCACATTAAAAATTTTGATTATAACTCAGATTATTCTGAAAAGATAGGTAGTGAATACAGAGAAGAAAAAGCGATGACTGTGTTGGGGCTCAGAAAACAACATACCAAAATATGCCACTGACTTCTGGGAAGCTGCAAATGCAGGGCAGGGCATTCTCCAAAGTTCTCTTCTCTACCTAAAGACCCAATCTAGCAAAGAGGAAAGCAATTGCCTTAAATCTTTCTGCTGAAATTCTATTTCACTGGGAAGATTAAACTAGTATCACAGAGAAACTGAAAATCAAATACCAGACCTGGAATCTAGAAGAACTTTGTTTCTGGCCATTGTCTATCCTAGAGTCTCAATCATTTCCCCTAAAAATCGTTTTTCTTCTCTACACATGCCTGTAGCCCTCAACTTCCTCTCTGCTATGAAGAGGGTATTTGAATCTCAACCACCAGGCCCTGCTTTGAATTTCATATTTTATAGAGCATGTACATATTAATAAATTTGCATACCTGTTCTCTTGCTAATCTATTGTCAGTTTGTTTCAGTTACCAAACCTTCAGAGAAGAAGTTTGAACTTCCCTACAGCAGTCTAATGCTATTAATGATTTTTGTCCTCTAGTGATATTTTCACATTAATAGAAAACCAAAATAATTCACTGATTACCCTACAAAGTTATTTTTTCGATACTTCATTGCTCCAAAATTTCAAATATTTCAAGAATGCTGTTGATAAAGGATCCTAGAAACCAGCGGGTCTCCACTATTCACTGAGAAAGTATATTTTTAAAAGGATTTTGTAACTGAAATAGCAGCAGATTTAGAATCACAGAACCTGGTTTTTGTCCTGGCTGTGCTGCAGTTGGCTTGTGCTAAGTTAGATCACTCTTCTGAGCTTCAGTTTTCTTGTTTGAAAAACGAGGGGAGTTTAGTCAGTTTATGTTTAAAGTTCCTTCCAGATCTGAAATTTTAATACTATATATATATAAACATGAAGCCAGACAACATTTGTTAGAGAGATGAAGCATCCTGGTTATATCTGAAATCCGTGGGGAAAAAGGTTACCTTGTCGATATTCAAAGGTAGTACATATCTTCTAACTTCCGGTTGAGGAGCCTTTCTGGCATTTTTTTTTACCTCTTCCCAGTTCTCACGTAAATTAGCTAAATATAAGTAATTATAGACGAATTCAAATCTGCAAAATAGGAAGTCAATCATGAACACAGTTATAAATAATTTTAGAGAGACGATTCTTGACTCTTAAAAGCACACGTTCTTCACCAACTGCTAATGACACAGGTGTATTAGAGTACTTTCCTCTAGCCCATGCTGGGTGAAAACAGACAAACCTGCCTTGTGGTTATGTTTTAAAAGCAGCAGCTTCAGATACTTTCTGCTTTTCTGCTTTTCTGTCAACACTATATTTGTGTCTTTAGGAGCTATTATGTTTTTAGTGACTTGGCTAATTTGAAAAAAAAAAAGTGTCTCTTTCTCCCAATTTCAGAGTGAGTAGGGTTCAAGGCTCCTTAGAGATCTTGCTGGGTTTAAGAAAGTTTAAGTTCATGTCTCAGGTCACAGAACCTTTTATTTTCAGGTCTGATACATGGACCTAGTTTGTCTTCACTGATCCCTGGTGTGTATTTCTAATACTTAAACTCCATACTGCTTTTTCAATTACACCTTGTGACTTCTGCATATCTCTTGCTTTGTGAGATGTGATTTGGGTTGAACATTGAAACTAACATCTCTCCAAGAGCCCCTTATGGTCCAGAAGCTGCTGGAGATGGAACATTTACCCAATATCTTCTCTTACCCTTTCCAGCAACAGAGGTCCACAATCAGAAACCCACTGTCTTCATAGGTGTTGATGTGATGGAAGAGGTTGAAGGAAGAGGTTCTGTATTTATTATTAAGGTATTTTCTTCTTTTTTTGTCAGCAATATGAAGCCAAACCTTGAGAAGTAAGGAAACTATTTTGATGCATTTAGAAAGGAGAGAAGTGTACATTATGAAACACCTTCTTCAGCATCAGCAATGTGACAAATAGATCAGACTTACCCCCATGGTTTCATTGGACTCAAAACAGTCCATGTAGTTGGCTCCCCAAAGACTCCATGAAGAAAGGAACTTGAACAAGTTAATTTTGACTGGTGTCTCCACAAAAACGATGTAATTGGGGGTCAGACCAAAACTGAAAAGGAAATGGGCTTGTGAATTGAAGGGCTGAGTCTCAATGCACAAAGAAACATCTATACACAAGGTATGTTTAGCTACATGAATCAACAATGCCTACATGAAATTAATTATTTTTAAATTTAAATTTCTGCAAGAAAACATCGTGATCAGAATTGGTATCAAAAGGTAGGCAAAGCAGATCTTTAAACTTGAGTTTTCCTGAAGATTCATGGCAGGCCTTCAAGTTACCTATGGACGTAAGATGGCTTGAATCGGTCACTGCAGGGGAATTGTACAACGATCTCTGACTTGCTTATTGGATCTTCCTTGTCTGAAATAAAGTGGTTTTAAAAGGCTTTGGAAGAGCCTCTTATTTTTTTTTTTTAAAAAATACAAAGCATTTAGAACAGTTTATACAAGCAAAGAAATACATTTTCAGATATTGAATTCAGAGGTTTTTCTCAGTCACTGTCATCTCTTAGGAAATTTCACATGAAGCTGCAATCACCCAGGAAAATCCAAATAGTAGCAGATTTGGAAAAGTGAACTCCAGTATGTCTGTGGAAGAGTGTTATGGAGTCACATTTCATGACAAGTGGAGATGGATTTTAAGTCAGAGGCAAAATTTTGGTATGGTCAAAACGCCTTTTATAGCATCTTAAGATGCCTAAATTACAACGTAGATGGGTTTATATCCACAACCCTATATGATAATTCTTATGCACATTAAAGTTCATTTATTACCAAGTTATTGGTCTTCAAACCTTAGTGTGCATCAGAAATACACATAAATGATTTCCTGAAATTCTGACTGTAGGTCCTTCTCCAAAGATGTCTCATCCAGTCTGCTTGAAGTGGGGCTTAAGATTTCTATTTCTAACAAATTTCCAGTTGATGCTGCTGGTCTGTAGTCTCCTCTTTAAGAACCATACTAAGACATACCACTTCAATCTAATGTATGAAATATGATGTCAAGAGCTTTGTAATGTTGTGAACAACCAATAAAAAAAATGATCATCAGAAGCCTGTATGTCAGGATATGAACCTCCTACACACATCCAAGTAGCCAATGAAGCACAATATGTCTGAGATTAGCCTTTCAGGGTGCAGAAAAAAAAAGACATACCAAAGAAAACTTTACATGAATCCAAGTCTATCATTGAGAGGATTGTCAATGGACCTGATAATGAATGGAAGTTGAATGGAGAATTTTTGAGTGTCCTACTTTAAATCTTTTTCTAGACTTGTTTTTAGTTTGGGAATTAAACACAAAATATTCCACTTTCATATATATATATATATTACACATATATGTTTATTTGCTTGGCCCATGAATAATTGCTCAATACATGTTTGCTGAATTTGAATCTAAATTGTACATGATAAATCCACATATACACTAGTTGATGAAACACCATGGAAGAGAACTTGACCTCTTGCTTTCTGTGGTTTCAAGTTGTCACCTCCTGTTGTAGTACCTTTGAGCATTAGTATCCCGATAGCATATCCTGTAGTACCTTTGAGCACTAGTATCCTGATATATAGGGATGAGAGCAATTTTTTAGTTTGAGAGAAATTTAACATCCCATATTTTCAGTAGTTTTTTCCACAATGTAGATACATATTTTCAGAAAAAGAAAAACTGATAAACTCACCTGCTTGCAGTGGAGGAATCTTTACAATATTGTAGGCAATTGAAAAGTTTTTCCCAAAGCAATTACCAATGTTGTAAACGGTTCCATCACTTTCAATGTGGGGGTGGGCAGTGGCTCCGTTGACTGAGACATAGTTGCAAAGGTCAACCTATGGGAAGGAGAAAAAAACACCATCCATGTTAAGAGAAAGAGGATCACACCTTTGTCCCTAGGTCTCATCCCATCATTAACCCCTTGCACCCTTGCTATAAGTACACTTTGTCTTTCTTTTCATCTCTCTGGATCCAACCCTCTTTCAGCTTTGCCTGAAGTCCCACCATTAGTGCAAAACTCTCCTCTGACCCCCACATGGACTCTGAAATCTGGAGTTCTATGACTGTGTTCATTCCTTGAAGTATACCATACAGTGCTCTGGTGAGTTTCTTTTTGCAACTACATCTTGATCTTTAACAATGATAAACTTGAGACCTGGGACTTCTTTATATGTCTTTAATTGTACTATATTGAATTGTGTAAAATTCTTGCTATTTGATAATTTTTCATAATAAAAATTACAATTTGGCATGGGACAACCTAAATACCAAGCCCAGTGTGTTCAACATATGTATTTGGAACTGAAAGGAACTTTGGGATTTATCTAGTATGCCAGGCACTGTGCCAGGATCTAGGAAAACAGAAGATCCTTACTTTTAAGAACTTTGGTCTAGACCTATCCTGTCAATAGCCAGTAGTTATGTGTAGCAATTTAAATGTAAATTATAATTAGATAAAATTTCAAATTTAGCTCCTCAGTCACATTAGCCACACTTAAAGTGTTCATTAGCATTGGAAAATGTGATCAGAGAACATTTCCATCATTATAGAAAGTTCTATTGGACAGCACTACATTAGACAATAAGCTTTCATAAAAAGGACAGTGAGTGCAACACAGTACCTGCAGAGAAATGCTATATAACCCAGGCTGGGGGATTAGGCAGCTTCCCAAGCTTCCTATTAGCCCCCAGTTAATTCTTGATGGTGAGTAGAAGTTAACCAGGCAAAGAAGGTGTGTGTGTTAGGAAGCAAGAATCCTAATGTGAAGGCACAGAATTATGAAATGCATATGCTCTCTGGGCATTACCAGGTTATGCAGCATGGCTGGTGTGAAGGTGTGAACGGAAGAGGAGAGGTGAGAATGGCCAACACCTCCCCAATTGGACTTTCCCTCTGAAACCATGGGGGACCTAGATTGAGTAGCACATGAATGTTTGCATTTCAGAGCAAAGGCTTCTGCTGCAGTAAGGAAATTATACTTAAGGGCATCAGCTGGAGGCAAAAGTATTGACTAGTTGGGAGGTTATGTCAGTTATAATAAATAAAAATTTTCAAATTATATTTTTATGTGAAGTCAGGGTACAGTGGTATGCACAATGGGACCTATAACAAAGTTTTCTGGAGACATATTACAGCTTCTACATTTCCAATTAAAGTACTATGTAATGGGAATATGGATTCATTTCAGAGCAAATTAATCTTTTAGAAATTCAACTTCACTTCTTCTCTAAATGATCCGCACAAACTTGAACATGGTTATACACGTATCAACAGGAAAGAGCTCTTTATACTCCTAGTAGCTTTGGGAGTATATGTCAAGATGCAGTAAGTATGTCTGTCAAGAATTATAGATCAGTATGTGATATTGAGACTCAGTGTTGGGGCTATTTTTCCTTTCTGTTACCACTGCATTTGTAGCTCTGATATTTTCAATTATTAAATTTACTTTTAGCAGATATATAAAAGCATAAAAATTGTACATATTAGTGGGGTGCCATGTGATTTACAATATGTGTATATGATGTCTAATGTTTAAATCAGTTTAAACATATCTATCTCCTCTAACGTCTATCATTTCTTTATGTGAAGGTATTCTAAATCCTTTCTCCTAGTTTCTGAAATACAGAGAACTTTATTGTTATCTGTAGTCTTGAATTCCATTACTGATCTCCTAGCTGGTATATGTATTTATTTTACTCTCCCATTCAGCCCACATGTAGCTTCTCAATTAAACATCCTAAAGTACAGCTCTATTTATTCCACTTCTTTGAGTTAAGACTTTCAGTAGTTTTTCATTAGCTAAGCAACTGATTCTAAATTTTTAGTGTGTTATTCAAGCTTTTAGTTTCACCCTATCCTGTTCTCCTTGACGTTACATACTCTAGATGAGTAGCTCTGGTATGGGAGTGTTGTTGCCCCCTACTGGGAGATCTAGAAATGTCACAGGCATTTTGGGTTTGAGCAGTGATTGAGAACATGACTGGCATTTAGTGGATAGGTCGGGGACACCAAACCCCTATGATGCATAGGAGAGCCCCTACAGGATGAGTCACCTCTTGCCCAGTGCTGCTAGTGCCCCCACTGAGAAACACTGCAATTCTATCCCAAAGAGATTACTTTTGGACATGTTTCTTATTTTCTGTGCCTTCCCTCATGTTACTATTCCATTCAGATTGTCCTTTCTCTAAATTCACCGGACCTGTACTTGCCTTAAGATTGCAGCTCAAATGCAAATTCTTTGACCCCTGCTCGATCTGTCCTTGCTCAGATCCTCAACTACTGCCAGAAATAATTTCTTATATGTGCGTTCTTAGAAGGTTTTTCTTTTCTTAAAGGACTCATCACATTTGATGTTTATTATAATTTGTATTCTTGCTTCATTTCCTCATCTAGATGTTAAGCTTCCTCAGGGCAAGAATGCTGCTTGGCAAGTTGGTGTCAATAAATATTGGTTGAAATTGTGAGTCTGTTTTAAGGACTATTGCGTTGAAATTGCCTAAATTCTCAGAAAAAAAAATGTTACTTTCTAATATGACTGATATTTATATATGGTATTTAAGATATAGCATTATTTTTAATAAGAAATGTCTACAATAAGAAGCAAATTAGTGCAACCTATTTTTCTAGAACCATAGAAAGCAAGGTTTCAGTATTAATAGCTATAAATTTTTGAACACCCAGTAGGTTCAAGTTCCATGATAGCCTATAAAAGCCTTGAAGTTTGGGAATCATGTTGATATATCTCTTGTATCTGGCAAAAGTTCTGGCACATGGAAAGCCCTTAATGAATATTTGTATCACAAATGAAAAAAAATGAATGAATATATTAGGCATTTTATATGTTTTTTCTCCAATCCATATAAATGTTTAAAATATTTCAGATGAAGAAACAAAGTATGTCCTATATCACATAGCTGGTAGTTGGTGACAAGGCAAGGATCTGAAATTTCATCTTGTTCTCATGTTCTTTCCATCAAATTGCACAGTTGATTTAATTCCAAGTTCCACATTCTAAACTCCTGAGCAACATACCTGAGCACTATGTCCTACCTGCTTAATTGTCTCTAAGGTCTCTGGATTAATCTTTGTAATAAAGTTGGTCTCTGTGCAGGCATAGTAATCTTCCCCCACTGGGTAGACATTTACAAGGGCATTGTCGGTAACCTCCACTCCTCTAAAGTAGGAAAAAAACCTGCAGAAACAAATGAATTATTCAGTTCAACAACTTTCAAGTCATAAGAGAAAAAGGGCTGATGTAAAATGTCTTTAATAACATGCAGTTTCAGAGACCTGGAGAATATATTCTTGCAGGGGTCTGGGAAAGCACAGGTGCCAAATTCTGTTATGACAATCCTTTTCTCAGTCATTGCACGCACGTAGGCATCAGTGCGGATGAACCTGGAGAACATGGAGACAAGAAGAGGATGAACGCAGTCCAAGTGCCACTTAGAATGGTCATTCAGTGTGCCTTCATCAATTCAGAATGGTAAAGCCATCACATGAAGAATGAAGAGTATTGTCAATTCTCAGTCTTGGAGTGACCTCAGGGAAAGAGATAATATCATGCCCTGAGGCTCAATTTAGTCTTTTAAACTTTACAGTGACAGATGAGGAAATTGAGGTTCAGAGAAGTTAAGTGATTGGCATATGTGACCTAGCTGGGTTACAACTCTAGTTGATCAGAGGTGGACAAAGTGGGCTTTCCATCTCACATCTCTTGACCCTATAGGAAGTTCACATAGTACTTCTGGCTTCCTGTAGCTTGTAACCTATCAACGGACCTATCCTTCCTGTGTTTTTATTCAATTTTAGAATTTATTTTGTGGTACTTTTGAAAGTAGGTATTCTTGAATTCAATGAGCAGGCGGATCTGCTGAACCATATCCAAGGCTAGCTGGCAAGGGTTGCCTAGGATTTTTCATATGAAGAGCCAATTAAAATCTGATTTTTGCACTTTTGTAAAGAGGAATGAGGTCTTTAGAAGGCATATGAAAGCTTTATTTCAACTCCAGAATTTGCTCTTATGGCTAAAGTTTTGCTTGGTGTAAACTGTTTCTTTTCTAATACTGTCCAAGGTATCCTGACTAATTCAAATCTCCAGTTATGCTTCCTTTTGATGTTTCTTCAAAATGCCTGAAATCTGTGGTGATCGATAAAGTCACTAAGAGGCCTGAATAATTAAATAGGACAAGGTGTTTCTTGTTGTGCCAGGGGGACTTGCTGGAATGCTGGCTTAGACTTTCAAGCCTTTTAGCAATAACTTCATGTTTTTAAAAAACTACTCTTCCTTGGCCCCTGATGAAATATTTGGTCCTTCCCTCCTTTGTGTCACTCTAGTACTTTCTGATTATAACAGGAAAGGAATCAACATAACTAATGGCCCAATAATAATAATAATAACCATCACAGTAACTTTTGTGTTGACCTTGTGCTTCCTAGGAACAGGAGTGGGGGGGGGTCACAAAGGACTCCTTTAATCCTTGTAATGAACCTGTCAAGTAGATGGTATTATTTTCCTCATTTTATAAATGAAAAAACCGAGAATTGGGGTCAATATCTTGCTAGAGGTCACTTATCAAGGCAAGTGGTGCCTGGTAGGTATACGACTTGAAGGCAGGTGTGTCCCAACCCAGACCTCTAGTTCCTAACTTCTTCATTATCTCATGGTAGTCCCAGGTGTCTCTGTAGACACCTGATCTAGGTAGATTCTGAGAAGTAAGTGGGTATAGAGGTCCCCTACTGGTTCAGAAGGTTAAAAGGCACGTGACTGAGGTCCCACTGCTAGGAAAAGGCTGGGACCCTATTCTCTCTTACCTTCTGTGGTATGTGACATGTCCTTCTTTAAAGTCAAACTTGTGAAGGAGGGCTTGCCCGTCAAACAGGTGGTAAAATGGCTCAGATCCAACTTCAAAGAGTCCTGGCCCACATCGAAGGAGACTGCCGGTGAGCCAGACAGGGATCCTGCCTGTAATGAAGTGAAACACAGAACATGGCTTCCTGTTCCTGCCTTGGGGCTGGGTTTGACCCTTCTAAGTTGGAGTAATGGCACTAGCAGCCTGATTGGGCAGCCTCTGCTGGACAAAGTTGGCAGTGACTTTCCCTCCTAGCCCTCCTGCCAGATAACACTTAGAAGGTGTCTGCTGACTGGAATCTCCCTTTTGCTAGGAGACATGGTGGTGGAAAACTTGTCAATGCCCCAGAGTTAGGAGAAGAGGCTAGAAGGAGTGAAGGGAAAGCATCTTGAGGTGAATGGGATTCTCCACTTAAAAAACTTCCCCAGGTACCAGTCTGTTTACTTTTCTGCCCTCTTACTTTTAACACAAATTTCTTAATGCATGGGGGCAGATTAAAGGGTAACAGAATGGATTAGGAGTTGAGATCAGGTCATTAAGAAAGGTGTGTGTACAGAAGAAACATCTAAATGAAACAATAGGGATACTGTTTTTTTGTTTGTTTGTTTTAATGTAGGATTCCATCCTGTTGAGTGTATGAACTGCTGTCCAGATGAAAGTTGACCTTCTGTGGCAGAAATTGCATAGGGCTGAGTGTCAGGACCTGGATTTTGGTGCAGGATGTGCTGCATGCCTTCATTGGGCCTCAGTTTCCTTTTCTGCAAAATGAAAGGTTTCCATAATAGCCCTTAAGGACTTTCTGCTTGCATAGTGAGGTTTATGTCCTGTTATCCTTTTAAAAGTACAGTGTTTGCTCAATTTCCACTAGGATTTTTTTTTAAATGGATTATTCCCTATATATCAGTCTCAGCAGTTTACCTGATATGGGATAAAAACTTGAAAAGAAGGCATGGATTACCTAAAAGCATAATACTAAGTTTTTATTACTAATGCCTAGATTGTTAGCATCAGAATCAAGTGGAGAAAGATCATTTGCCTCATCCGTTCTAAAGAGGAGGAAAGAGCTTTGCCCAGGCATTGACCCTTCCTGTGAAATACTGAGCAAGGAGACTATATGGATCACATGGAATCTTTGGACAAAGATAGTGATAGTGATAATAACTACCACCTATTGATCACTTTGTATCTGATTTTGGGTTAGTCATTCTATTTATATTACCTCATTTAATCACAACATCCCCATGAAGGAATTTATGGATTTTGGTAGGTGAGGGAATTGAGGTTCAGAAGTTTTAGGTAATTTTTTTTTAGGATTTTCAGATGGCGAAATAATAGAGCTGTGACAATACCTATACCTTCCTGTCCCCAAACCAACCAAATGGGCATGAAACCCACTATCCTTTAATGTACTATTCCCAGATATTTGTCACCAGGCCCTCACTCACACAAACCCTCCAGCAAGAGACTTTATTTATGGGGATTACTATGTGCCAGGCACTGAGATGGGCTCTGTCGACTTGAAGATGAGATAGGTGTAGTCCAGGTTCTCAAGGAATTCCAGTTAGGTAGTACTTCTTTATATCAGAGAAGTAAAGTAAGGGTAAATGAGAGGAAATGTGTTCTTGGGAAAAAAAACAAAAAACAAAAACAAAAAAACCCCTAAACCTCCAGCTTTCCTTTCCTGTAGCCCAGATAGGAAGCCAGTTCTGACAGTGCCAATGAATAGGAAGCCAGAGAAGAGACACCTCACAGTAAACACGATGGCTTCACAGTAGTTACCAACCTGTCACGTGAGCTGTGAGTGGTGAGGACAGTTCCTCTACAGTTTCAAATAGCTTCTTGTAGCCACCAGCTGGGTGTTCCACTCTGAAATGGTAGAACAATGAGGAAGAAGCTCATATTGATACTTCAAGAAGAGAGTCCAGGGAGACAGAGGCAGCACTCCAAGAGAGAAGGCGCCTCAGCTCCATGCCAATGTGCTACTGCCAATCTGGCAAGGAGCACTTGGGGCTTGTGGAGAGAGAGACATACTCAGGGAGAGAAGGGGGGCCCTGCTCAGTGCTCCTCCTTTCAAGTTAGTTGGTCACAGGGGACTCAATTCTGTCATCTGCAGTTTTCCTATATTTCTGAAGACAAATCAACAAATCTGCTCTATCACTTATCTTCCTGAATTTTGATCCTATTCAAAACCTTTCTTAAGAATTGCCCTGCCTTAAATATCAAGAATACAAGTAACAATAAATGTTGGTGAGTATGTGGGAAATTACATTCATACATTGCTGGTAGGAATGCAAATTGGTGCAACCTTTCTGGAAAGGCATATGGAAATTCCTCAAAAAACTTGTAGGAATGAAACCACTATTTTACCCAGCTATCGCACTCTGTACATACCCAAAGGATTTAAAATCAGTATACTAGAGTGACACAGCTACATCAATGTTTATAGCAGCTCAATCTACAATAGCCAAGCTAATGAACCAACCTATGTGCCCTTCAACAGATAAATTGGATAGAGAAAATGTGGTATATATACACAATATTCCATATTATTCAGCCATAAGGAAGAATTAAATTATGACATTTGCCAGTAAATAGATAGAACTGGAGACTATAAGGCTATGTGAAATAAGCCAGTTCCCAAAAGCCAAGTCAAATGTTTTCTCTGATATGTGGAAGCTAACTCACAATGGGTTGGGGAAGGAAAAGAACAGAAATTCAGTAGATTAGATAGACAAAGGGGAATGGAGGGAAGGAAGGGAGTATAGGGAAAAGAAAAGATAGTGAAATGAATCTGACATAATTTTTCTATGTATGCATGAATACACCACCATCATGTTTATCTACAAGAATGGGGTCCTAATTAGAATAAGATATATTCCATGCTTTTATAATTTCATCAAAATTGATTATACTGTATAACTAATTGATTATATGTATAACTAAAAAGAATCAAAAAAAAAAAAAAAAGAAAAGAATTACCCTGCCCTATTGACACTCTCTGCTGAATGCATCATTGACTTTCTGGCCTCATGGGGAGACTCGTTCCTCTGGCTCCTACAGATTGGGAGACAACAGCATTTAAGGTCAGATACCTCATCCTTTTTCCTTTATCCATACTATACTATCATTTCTTCTCATCTTCTAATTCTTTACCAATCCTTGAGAACTATAGTATTTTTCTAGAACTAGTCAGATCAAATGATTCTGTATTTTTGCTTAATTCCTACAGCCTATGTTTGCCTCCATGTTATGATTTCTTGGAGTGGGAGCTCTCAGACTTCCTAATTAGAACCACTTTTTTAAATAAGCATTTACTTTGTACCTCATATCATAAGAAGAACTTTGTATGGTCCTAGCTCATTCATAACACAATGAGGTAAGTATTATTGTTATACTCATTTTACATATCGAAAACCTTTAATAAGTTAAGTAGTTTAGACTTTAAAATGTTAAGTGATTTGCTCACAGACACACAGCTAGTAAATGACTCTGAAAGAAGTGGAACCCAAGTCTGCCTGAAATCCTCATGCTTATAGTGCTTCCAAGCTCCGGTCTGCCACACAAACCTCACCAAAATTCTGTATATTTACTTTGATGCATGGAGAAATTCCTGCATCATGACCCAAGGGTTTTCTTTACACAGGTCACTAACCAGTGTCATCTTGTTACAAGCTCTTCATCACCATATAATTCCATTGCTAAGGTATTAAAAAAAAAAAAAACCTCCCAAGATACTTACTGGATAGACATTTTCTCCCAGTGCAGGATCAAGAATTCTGGCACCGACTGAGGAATGAGGGAGCAAGTCCTCAGCCAGGGGCTTTTGTATGCCTCTAAATCCCCCTAAAAGGAGTTATGGCTTTGGGAACCCTTCTCCGCCCCTCCGCTGAAGGAGGGGGAACAGAAGTGGCTTTCAGTGCTCAGATCCTCCTGATGCCTGAGCATTATTTGGGCTTGCTGTTCCCATAACAGTTTCTTGGCTGTTTTCCAGAGTCCTCGATCCGTCCCAAGGAGAATGAGAAGTGGATTGGAAAGAAAGGAACTGTGTGGGAGTGGGCAGCATGGGGCCTGAGCTGATCTGAGTCACCCCACTGGAACCTGGCACCCTTCTCTGATGCCCACACCCTCTACCACTTCTGTGCCTTCATCTTTACCTTCTTCATTTATTTATTCACTCATTTATTTTAAAAAATCCATTACATGTCATCTGCAGACTGGATGGATATTGGTACTGTCCCTCTCTCCATAGATCTGAAAACTCTGTAAGCGTAACAGGGAACTAATAAACCAGTTAATAAAGTTTGGGTAGTACTAGGAGTGGAGAAGTATGGAATGTTATGGAAGCACATTGTAGCAACTCGAACCCTCTCTGGCTACTTTATTGGTACCTTTCAGTGCTTAAAATTTTCCATTGAGGCTGAGGACTCTGCCTGTGTCCTTTCACTGAGGATAAAATTCTTCATGTCCTTGCTGAAGTTTGCCTGTTCGCCATCCTAGCTTCCTGTCTGTTGGTGTATGTTCTGTGCTCAGAGAGTATATATAGAACTATTTCATTCACCTTTCCATTCTCATATTAAGCCCCTGTTATTATTAGGCACAGACATGATGTCCACAGGAGTCTCTGGAAAATTGTCAAGATAAAAACTATCTGCAACTTTAAGACTTTTTGAGAAATGAATGATTTTACATTTAATAAATGGTTATGACTACCAACACTACAGCTGTTCTCCAGCAAAATGGTATAACAATTAATCTGAGCCCTCCCCAAGATAGATAACAGGATCTTGGTTTCTCAGCTTGCCTACAGCCAGGGCATGGTCCTGGCAACTTGGCCCCACCCATCTGAGGCAGGGGGAGAGGTCTCAGTGTCAGCACCCAGCATACAGCTTCAGTGGTACTTCTGGTCATCCATGAAGTCCAGGTTTCTGCACTGAAACCACTCCATAGTGAAACCTATGGTATTAACACTGGAGAGGTAGCTTCCAAACTCCTTTATTCAGCACACAGATGTGCTGTCAGTTGCCTGATATTTAAAGTATTTCTGCACTGCTTAAATAATTGGATTTAGTTTCATTGTTGTCAGCTAGAGACCCAAGATCTAAAAAGTGATGATAGCTTAGGAAGATCTGGTATCACACAGGAAAAATATCTATTTTGGTATTAGAAAGTCCCAGAAAAAGAGTAAGTATCTAAACTGAGATAGGGAGAATATATAAAAGTTGGCTAGCCAAAGGGCAGGTAGAAGAGTATTCAGGCACGGCATGCAGAATTTATAAAGGTTTGTAGGTGAATGTGATGCAGGGAAATAGAAATGAAATTGGACTAGTGATAATCATGGATCCGATTTTGTAGAACATTGTACCATATAAAGAAATCAAGACCCATATCATGAGAGGGGGGTGCTGACATTTTTCATGCAGAGTGGCATTTTATGCCAGGCATGGTGGCACACACCTGTAATCCCAGTGGCCTGTGGGGCTGAGGCAGGAGGATTGCAAGTTCAAAGCCAGCCTTAGCAATTTAACAGGTGCTAAGCAACCTAGTAAGAACTTGTCTCAAAAAATAAAAAGGGCTGGGGTTGAGGCCCCTTGGCTCATTCCTGCTACAAAAAAAGTGGTGTTTTATTAAGACCACTTTTATTATCTTGTCGATAATATATGGGAATGGGAGATCTGGGCAAGATTAATTAGGGGGGTCACTTTCAATCAAGGGAGATGGCTGATGAAGGAGGATGCAGGATATAAATAGTCAAATTCAAGAGATATTTCAGAGAAGGCCTGTTCAAGCTGTGTGATTAGTGAATGTGTTGGGGGAAATAAAGGACACAAAACAAGGATGGCCCCAGGTTTCTGGCAATTCATCATCAGGATACTGCATGCTGTATGAGTGTGTACGTATGTGTGCACACATACAAGCATGCTGCGTATGTGTGATACTTCAGGGATTTAGAGAAAATGCATTCTGATTTTGATTTATTTATTAAGGGAAGAGACCACTGGGAGTTGTAATCATATGAGGGCCTCAAAGGGAGGCAGAGTGAGCTGGACTCTGAACAGTAGGCTGGTGTGGAGAGAAGATGGAGAGAATATTGCTGGTGAAGGATGCAGAGTGAGAGAAGGCAGAGGAAGGGGCATCCTGGAAGGGCATGCACTGAGGAAGGAAGGGAAGCAGGAGAATGACTGAGGGGATCTGATTTATGTTTTGATAACAAATCCCTCCCCTCAGCCGATGGGCTTCCTTGCCTCCACCCTTATTATATGTCCAATGGTGTTTATGTGCTGTGTGAGAGGGATGCTCTTGGGAGTTTCCCGGAAGACTTTCCCCTAATGTGTCCTCAGAACTTCCCCAGCCATTTTACCAGAGACCTTCTTTGAAGAGGAGAATCTGACCTTGTCCCTTCATCACTTAGAACCTTTCAAAAAGTCTTTTTAGGTTACTGGAAGAAGCCCAGGCACTTCAGCACAGCTATGAGATCCTCCACACGCTGGCCCCTGCCTGCTTCTCAGTGACCTCATCTGCCTCTCTCCCTGACCTTTTGTGACCAGCAGTCCCAATCAGTTCACCGAATCTCGCAGACGCTTACTGTTTCATGCCTCCCTTTCTTCACCCAGTCTAACCCTTAGCTTGCACTTCCACCCTTTCTCTTGTCTATCTGGCAAATTTCCAGCTTCTGCCATAACCCTGATGGAACACTGCCTTTCAGTGGTGCCTCATACAGGATGTTATTTTGCTCAGATACTCATATATAAGTCTATGTTTGTATTGATCACATTGTTATTTCACTTGTTAGCATGTCTATTTTTTTTTAGATAGAAAGTTTCTATTTTCTGTTTATTGCACAGAAATGGAATTAATTTACCCCAGCACAATGATATTTGGTAAAATATTTCAATAGCTGTCAGAATGAAAACTGGCATCCATTCCATGTGCTCCCACAGAGGGAAGGTGACAGACTAGCAAAAACCCTTGTCCTTTCTTCTTCTATACCCTCACATGCAAAGTAACCTTCCCTGCCCCTCTCCTTTCTTCACCTCTCCAGAACTCATTCTGCCTTGGCATAACTCAGAAATGTCATGAGGAAGTGGGGAATAGGTAGAGCCTTGACCTTTGATTTCCTTCTTTCTCTCTTCTAGAGACATTGGAGTACCCTATGCGTCCCAACCCTTAGTCAGAGAATCCCTATTGGTTTTCATGTGAGCAACAGCCATCAAAATTCCTTGTCTCCGGTTGGGTGTGATATGCTTTGACATCTGATATCTTAAAAAGGTAGAGTGTGGCAGCAGGCTGACCACAACACTTGGGCATCATTATGCTCAAGGAAATCAGAATAAGAACCCAAAACTCGTCATTGAACACAATTCGTAGAGGCCACTGAAGGATTGCCTTAACGAATCAAGCAGGCAAGAATAAAAATTCGGTTTATAAATGAGTGCTTAAGGATTTGTTTTGCTTTTCCTGAAGAATTTGAATTATTTTACTTAAAATTGTGATTATACTCTGGTTTTAATTAATCGGCTCTTGATTCACACCCTTGGAAAAGCACAAAAGAGGATTCTGGGTCAGGCCTATTGGATTAGTGATGGCTCCACTATTACAGGCCTATGGAACTTTTGTATGTTCTCAGGTCCTACCAATTGGTGCAAATGCAAAGAGGAATGGGCAGTTGACATCTTTTAGACAGGACCTCCCAGCCTCCAATTCTTTGGGCAAGAGAACTGGTTCATTAGATAATAAAACCTCAAATGTGGATTAAAATCACTTAATCTCTCACTGCAGGCATTGTACAAAGCACTATTCTAGTAGCATTAGGCATTCTGGTTGTGCTGATCCAGTTTATGGAATTAGATTGCTTGGTGGGTCCTTCTCAGACAATGGAAGAATAGGTTTCTGTGTTAGTCAGCTTTGCTTCTCTGTGACCAAAATACTTGACAAGAACAACTCAGAGAAGGAAAAGTTTATTTTGATTCACAGTTCCAGAGGATTTAGTCTATGGTCAGCTGGCTCCGAGGGAGTACAGTTTCAGAAGGGTGTGGAAGAAGAAAGTTGCCCACCTCATGGCCACTGGGAAGCTGAGAGAGACAAGGGACCAGGAACAGAAATAGTCCCAAGGCCATACCCCTAGTGACCTACTTCCTCCTGCCATATCTCATCTGCCTGTTGTTTTCACTACTTCCCTGTAAGTCCATTCAAATTATTATTTCATCAAATGGTTAATACACTGGTGAGATGACAGTCCTTATGAACCAATCATTTCACCTCTAAACACTGTTGCACTGCTTAACACTTGAGCTTTGTTGGGGGCATTCCAGATCCAACCATAACAGTTTCCTAATAAAAAGAGTTGTTAATATGACTGGCTGAATGTCCTCCATTCCTCTACTTCCCAGTGTATTTAGATCTTTCTTAATGATTGTTTCATCAGGTCAGTGCTTCTGTTTTCTTTGCCACTATAATGTGGAACCTATTACTTACTAAGTAGTTACTCAATATTTTTTTTTCTTTTTAAATGTTTTTATTAATGGATCATGATTATACATAATAGTGGGATTTATTTTGATATACTCAGACATTCATGGAATATAACTTACCCCAGGTACCCTACCAATATGCTACACCTCTGGACCCAAAGTTAGATTAAATTAAAATGTCAGCAAGGTTTTAAGTTAAGCCAGCTGGAATTAAACCATAAAGTCATTTACTGAATTAATCTATCAGTACATAAAACTGTAATCAGTTCAATAAACATTTCAGTCATATATTTGGTTTGACTAAACTTAGAATCTTAGACACTGGTCTTTAATTGAGTTTGGAAATAATAATCCTCAATTCCTATTTTACATGTTAGGAAATTAAATTTCAAAAATTTTACTTATATAACCTATTAGTGAAAGCCTGAGGTATAATGACTCTCAATTCAGTCAAAATTGAAATGGCCTTGTTATATATAGGACATAGTGACCAGATTCCAGGCACATTAAAACATATTTGTCTTTATATTGTCAGTCATTCTTTTTTCCCCTTAGGCTAATGTTTATAACCATCAGCCCTGTGTGGCTCATATGGACATCAGATAGCACTCTTCCATGTCCCTTATAATTCAGAGGCAGGGAGACCTCTAGGTCTTATCTATCTCCCATTTAGGCTTGTACCCAACTTGAAGAAACAGAATGATCAGCAGAGTTTCCAGGCAAAGTTTCCTCTCACCATGGAAATCACATGAGTTCATGTGTCCTAAACCAGATTTTAGGGCTCAGTTAAGCCAGTTGGTATTAGACCATAAAGTCATTCTAGTTAAGAGA